GTGGATGTTAATTAGAAGTTTTTTCTAGTCTGGCTGTGGGGAATAGGCACTATTTCCTTTGAGTGCTGGGCACTGTTTCCTTTAATTCCTTCAGATGGCTCTTTCCCTGCTTAGTTCATCATAAGTATGTGTTGATCAGTACTTTGTTGAGGAGGAAATTCTGTAGATCTCTGGGATCCTCTTTGTAAACTGTAGCTGCTTTCATTTTCCTGGTTTCTCATCTCCATCTCATCAACTCTGGGAGTCAACAGGTTTCCTCCTGGGTTTCCCCTCCTCCTTTGCTGCAGTCTAGAAACTCTCAGGGCAGTAAACGTGTGGTTTTAGGGTTCACTTCTTTTTTTCCCATTTGTCAGAGATTACTGTATTTCATTGCCTGATGTTCTGTATCTTAAAAAAACCATCGTTTCATTTATTATATCGTTTTGTTGTTTGTTTATTTCAGGCTAGATGTTAATCTGGCCTGTTTCTCTATCGAGGTCTGAAGTGTAAGTCCAAAGCATTGTCTGTTTTCTTCTTATCACAAAGCTTCACTTAAATGTTTCCTCCTCAAATAGGCCCTTCTGTCATAACACTCTCAAAAATAGGTCCACATTTCCCCCCTTATCTCATTTTTCTCCTTGATAGCATTGCTATCTTTTTTCAACTGTAACAGTACATCTATGGATTCTTTATATGTTTTCTATTATAAATTGAAGAAAGAGATCATAATTATTTTACTCATCACTGTATATCTAGTGCCTGGAAAAATGTTAGACACAGAAGATGCTTAATATTTTTTTGAATGAATGAATTTTTCCCATTTATTATTTACCATAATTTTTGCTCATTTTTGTTCTGAGGCATTCCTTCTTTTCTTATTCTTTTACTCCTCCATTTTTTGATGTTCTCCAATTCATTTTTTATATTTATTTGCCTCTCTTTGCTAGTTCTTTCTTATTCTTATCATCCCCTCTTCTGAATTTTTCTTTATGCTTCTATTTGTGTTCCCAGTATCTGTTACCATTCCCTACACTCTGAAAAAAACCCATGCAGTGAAAGCAGGAAAATATCTATAGATAGACTTGAGGCTTTCTAAGGGATCTCCCATTACATAACTAGAAATTGATGCACAAGCAAGTCTGTCTGACATGTTCTACATTAAGCCCACTTTTCAAAACTCCTTTTTGTTCAAACAGGATACTACTATTCTCTAACTAGCAAAATTTCTGTCATTTTCACAAGTAGAAAAAACACTAGACTATGAGGCAGCTGACTGGGTGTTAGTCATACCATAGACTGGTTGTGATTCTGGAAAACTTATCTAACCTCTCTGTGTCTTGGTTTTGTCTTTTATTATAATAATAATGTCTACTATTTATAGAAATGCTTTTATAAACATTAACCAAGAAAAATTCCATAAGTCTCTAAGGGAGGTAGGGATTATGATTTTTTACTTTATATATGAGAAAAAAGAAACTCAGAGAAGTTAAGTGACTTGCCAACGATTTCAGACATAATGAGTAGTTAATAAGTAGAACTTGCCTGCTGCTCTTCCCAAATCATTTCACTGGTTCCACAAATCATAATCTGTCAAATACAGAGGTTTCCTTTGAGCTATAGGGTTTTATTATTCTATGATGTGAAAGATTTGCAGATGGAATAAAGTTTTAGGAGAGGGAGCTCCTTGGAACCTAAACTACAATAAAAAATGATCAGTGAAAGAGCCCAGGAAAAGATTGCAATTGAGGTGTTTCTCCAGAAATGAAAAGTATAAAATTCAAAATAGAATGTGATATCATCTTGAGAGCAAAATTGGTATAATAAAATATAAAAGCTGGATTTCAGAGAGCACCTGTCTAGTCTCAATTGTGAGAAATAATTTTAAATTGTTTCATTTTTGGATATATTATTTTATTGATTGTGGATAAAAACTGGAAAAAAAAGTGGTTCCTGATTATAGTATAATGCAATTGGTTTCCAATGACCCTGAAACTTTCAGATATTTAGAGACGCTCAATAATACAGTGGAAAGCATATGAAGTCTGTTTTGTATCAAACAGGTGTAAGTATAATTCCCACTAATTGTAACTTTGGGAAATTAATATCTTTTGACTTCATTTTTTTCATCTGTAGAGGAAACTACAGTTATCTATTTGCCTTAAAGGATTACAATGACCATTAAATAATATAACACTGAGTCAAATTGCTGAGCACAATCCCAGAATAGAAAAGACACTTAAAGGAAGTGGGTTAAGTTTCCCCAAATAGAGATAATGCAAATATGCTTTCCTGAAAATTAGAAAACAATTCATGAAGTCTCTATTATAATAAAATGGAACTATAAAGATGTAATCAGGTTATATGATTAAATAAATTAAAAGCAAATGTTCATAAAATTTATTTTTAAAACATATTCCAGTTAATCAGTCCCTTATCAAAATATAGCATGTTGATTATCAAGAGAAGACTTTAAAGAAATTTGATTTTGAATCTCATGGCTTGTCTGAACTCCTAGGGAGCTCACTGGTGGACACATAGAGGATCTTTTAATAGTCTTCTAAGGACTTGATTTTACTTCTGTCTTGACACTTCAGATCTTTGTTTAGAAGAAACTATGATTTGTTTTGCAGAATCCTAGTGAACCCTGGAACTACAGAAGCTATTTCTGCTTTCACTTGTCAAATTTGAAAAATCCTCTGGCTATTCATATGAGCAAAAAGAGCCAGCTACATGCTCTATCCTAACCATCATCATTTATTTACTGAGCACGTATTTGTGCTAGGTGTAGAGAATATAAAGAATTTGAGATCTACTCTTCAGGTTCTTGCTATGCATTTGGAAAGGTAGAGCATATGCATAAAAATAAGTAAACATACAAATGAATTTATGCTAAGTACTAACTGGTTCACATACTTCCACATACAAGCTTATACACTATAGGCATTTAAATAAACAAACTGGCACAATAGGGCTCTGATGGCAGCAGGAAAGGTTTACAAAAGGAAGTAAAATTTGAGGAGGGCATTTCCAGAGAGGGGATGATATGAATAAATTATGAGGGTAGCAAGATATGTATACTTGGCTTAAGGGGAGTGTTTTTATAGAAGAGTAGTAGAAAATTCATTTGGAAATGTAGATAGGAATTATATTTTAGAGTACCCTGAATGTTTAAAATCTTTGCTTTTTAAATCTGAAGGAAACATAAGATTATTGAAGGGTTAGAAGTAAGTGAGCATGTCTCAGAACTTCTTTAACCTTTATATCATGGTTGATACTGTAGAATTCTGACTGCTCCTGCTCTTATTTTCAGGATACAATTTCTCTTCTTACTATAAAAGCATTACATGTTTATTATAGAAATATCGGAAAATACATAAAACTAAAAGAAGAACTTGGTAAAATCCACAATCTCATGTTTGGAAACTTTTTCTATTTGTATAGATGGATACATTCTCTCTCTCTCTCTCTCTCTCTCTCTCTCACACACACACACACACACACACACACACACACACACATACACACACACACAATGTTGGGAGCATCCAACCTTGAGAAGGCTAAACTGGGATTCAGAAGCTTGAGTATGTGTGTTAAACCACCTGGAGAATATTTACAGAAAAAGTTTTGGCTGAAACTTTTTATGTGGCAGGAAATGGGTATGAAAGAATAGAATTAGGGTAGAAGTCAGCTAATTTTTTATGTAAAGAGCAATATAGTAAGTATATTGAGTATCATGGGCCATATGGTTTCTGTTCAACTCTGCCATTGTAGTGTGGATGCAGCCATAAGGCAGTATGTAAAAGGTGAGTGTGGCTGTGCTCCAATAAAGTTTTACTTATGGAAACTGAAATTTCATATAATTTTCAGGTGTTAAGAAATGTTATTATAATACCTAACAGGTTTCTGTTTTAGGAGAAGCAGAAGTCAACATAGATATCAATGTTCTATCACAATTCACCAGGAGCTGAGACAGTGAAAAGCATCCAAAAAGGGAGTATTCTGCTAGAGTAGAAAATTAGAGGATGCTGCTGATGAAAAATAAGGGCATTCCCAGAAAAATTTTATGGATTTCACAGGGATTGAGTATCTTTAGCTACAGGAAGACAATGTTTTAGGTTATTATAAATGATGTGATCCCATTAATCATCTACAAACAGGTGAGGTGAAGTCTGAAGAAATTCAAGATACAAACAGCATTTATGTGTGTGTGTATGTATTTTATACAAATATGAAGCCATCATATATATTGTTAAGCAACCTGCTTTTTAAAAACATAATATTGATTAGTATATTGTAAATGTCTTCTTGTCAATGAATGTTCACCCCTAATATCACTAATATCATCTGCACCTGCAATCATACCCTCATTCTCCATTCTTTCTGCACTAGTTTATAGAATTGATTACTCCACCATCTTCAAATTTGCAATTTCCACCATGGTAAATGTTAATACTATTGACTCTTTAGTTTGTGACTTTAATTCCCCAATTTCATAGTGTTCGCTACCTAAAATCACTATAGAAACATGTGTTTGTGTATTCTATTTTAATAAAAAGCATCAGAGGTTAAGAATACTTAGCTAACTCTAAGAAATCTAATTTTTTAGAAAAAGAAAATATTGTGGCCTTGTTAGAATACTTTTATAAAATGGCCAAAGGCACAAGGTTTCCAAAACAAGAAAGCAATCAATTGTTATTGATACTGGAATGTCAGGTTTACTATTTATAAGGACACCAGGGTTCTTCCTCCTCAAAACAAAAGACAGGGACTCTTGAAATAAGAGAATGTGGTCTGCAGGGTTTGAAATATAATGGGTGTGAATAAATGGATATATGACATTAGCTATTTAAAGTATTTATACAATTATTAAAATTATCAGATTGCACTTCCATAACAAAACAAAAATTTGCATGCATGCTGAATGTGTTTTTAAAAACACATTACTAAGCACAGATGTATGGGTTTAACCAGGCATTAAGACTTAAAAAAGCTATTTGCCTAACCTTTATAGAACTTACTCTGATAGGAAGTACGGATCCGTTTCGTTAAATCAGGATAAAGGTTAGACAGGCCACGCATGCAAAAGTTGTCTTTGGAACATGCCAGAACATCAGCATCAGCAGCAGGCAGAGGAAAGAGAGAAAAATAGTCTAAAGTGAAAGGAAGGGATATCATACCAGAATCTAGAACAGCCAAGACGAAGAAATTGCAGCAAGTTTAGGTAGTCAAATTAGAAAGGAGATATTAAAAAAAATCAATTAGAAAGAGGTGATAGATGAATGATGAGAGTGTTGTAGTAGTTTTACTTAATCAAATATCCTATAAGAATAGATGTCATATTTCTCATTCATTTTATGTAGTAAACTTATTTCACTTGTAAATAATATGTTTGTTACCTCATAAAAATCAAAATGGTTGTCCTTAGTCTTGAGTATTAACAAGAAAGCTTAGGGATTTTAGTTTTTGGTATTTTATTTTTATAACATAAAGTGAGTACTCATTGTAGTGATTTTATACACAAAATATGAACAAAGTTTATGATTTCATCAGTTTTTTCCTGATTTTAAAGTCACCAAAACTCTAAGCTCTAATCATAATTGAGTTTCAATAAGTTTAAATTAATAACAGTTTTATTATGTTCGTCACAATATACACGTCATCCCATTGTGTATATCCAGTAAGTAACTTAGATGCTGTCATAGGATCCACAGTTTTTCTAATTAAGTTTGGGCTTTCCACATACAAATGTTGCCTCCTATCCCCTAATATCTTCCTATCCTAGAGTCCATAAACTTTCAAAAATCAATGTTCTCTTTCCCAATCATGAGGGTATCTTATGGTAAATGCGTGCACAATTTCTCTTATTCTGCCGTTCTTTCAAAAGCTGGAAATGGTAGAGGCAGAACCTATAGAATTTGAACTTTCCAGCATTCCTAAAATATTGCTAAAAGCTGAGATCCCTAACAAAAAACAGAGATTCCAAGTTCTGAAGGAGAAATTTTGTGCTCCTGAAAAGGGTCTAAGTTAGCAATGTGGAAAGGGTTGAGGTTTATTTAAAAAAAAAAAAAAATTAACACAAAGGGAGAATTTCAGCATGTCAAGTTAATTTTTCATTAGTCCAAAAGGAAACTTCTTTTTTTATAACTGTTTTATTATGTTATGTTAGACACCATACAGTACATCATTAGTTTTTTTATGCTATGTTAATTACCATACATTACATCATTAGTTTTTGATGTAGTGTTCCATGATTCATTGTTTGCATATAACACTCAGTGCTCCATGCAATACGTGCCCTCCTTAATACCCATCACTGGGAGGAAACTTCTTTTATTATAACATTCAGATGTTAAGTTTGGCACATTTGTTATTTAGAAAATAATACCTATTATCATGTTATCTTTCTAGTTGAAAACATTCTTTACATGAGTATATTTAATAAGGGCTTTAATAATCAACTGAATTTTTAAAATCAACTGATTAAAAAAACAAAATCTAATAGAACTAAACACATAATACTATAGATGTATTTCCATCTGCAAATCTTTGAGCTCAACTAATTTTTTGTCAACTACAGTACGTCAGTGGACAGAAAATGTACAAAATTTTGTCTATTTACAAAGCCAACTATTCAGATAAATATTGAAATTTCAGTAAACTTTGGATAATTTGGCATATCAAAATTTGTCATTGTATAGAAATTATTTCTGCTTATATCTTAATTAACTATATATAGTTAAACAAATTTATTGGTCCTGTCAAGCAAAATGTTCTCTTTCATAGCATTTAAAAATGTTAATAATGTTTATTGCATTTGTGAAAATGCCTCCAAGAAAATCACCATCCAACAAGGAAAAGTGACAGCTAGAATATGGAGTTTAAAAAATTAAAAATAGTGAAATACTTAAAATTATATTTTTAAAGAGTCCAGATATAATAGGAGAAAATTATCCTGTTAAACACAACCATTGCAAACAAATTTTTCAACTACAGAACCTGATTTTCATAGCATTTTTATATTTAATAGCTTCTTGTTTTCTGTTATTTCCTAGGAATTTGACCTAAGAAACTTGAGATGCTTCCTAACTTTGACAGCAAATTGAAGTTTAAACACTTCATTTACACTTTCAAGATTCTCACTATGTTTCTGCCCAATTTTATTCACATATCATAAATTATGTTGACTTTATATTGCCATGCATTTGAACCGTATCATAGAAGAAAGATAAGAAATCCAAATGTAAGAAAACAGATGAACTAATCAAGCTCATAACCATTTTGTTTTATCTCCTACCTGCAATGAACTGCTTGTTTTTTCGAGGTGACCGTGGTTGACGTTGGTATAGGTCACTTGATCTATATAGGTCAATGGTTCCCATGCTTAACAGTACTGTCTTCTGTATAAAATCCACCACAGCCAACCCATTGCAGTTCCCAAATGCAACTCTGAGAGAAAAAAAATATGCAACTAGAATGTATCACAGCAATCATTATTATTTTTATCTTTGAATAAAAATAAGATAATTAGAAAGTAATGCCTTAGCGTTGGGGAGGTTAGATCATGATTGGTATAATATCAGGAAAGATATCATGCCTTTACATAGGATAGGTTAACCTTGTATAGTAGCCATGACCACTGCAGTCATATTTCAGCATTAATTTTATTAGTAGGTAGTGATTACCCAATCTGTTCTTGAACTTGGCCTTATGTTTTTATAATAGAATCATAGAAAATCTTTTCACTATGCAATGGGGAAATACATCAAGAAATGGCACACTTTAATAGCTATAGATAGTTAGGTATGTAATTAGATGCCTTTTTTTTGGCTGTGAAATAATTAGATGCCTTTTTAAAATAAAATTATAATTGTTAAGCTCCAAATTATGTCTCTTCTTAAACAGAGAGTATATATTTAACACAAAATTTTACGTAAAATTAACTTTCTATACCTAAGGTTTTGACACCTTAGTAGATATAAAGAGATACAATTTTCATTCACAAAAATTAAAATTTTTCTCACTCTCTTGTTCTTTATTTTGTCCTACTTATTAAAGGACAAACACCATTTGATTAATTTCTCCTGAGAAATTAAAACAGCTCTACTAAGCAGGCATTTTGAAGATTTATTTATTTATTTGAGAGAGAGAGGACATGAGCAGGAGGGGTAGGGGGAAGGAAGAGAGATCCGAAGCAGACTCCACGCTCAGTGCATAGCCAGATATGGGGCTTGATCTTACAACCCTGAGGTTCTGACCTGAGCTGAAACCAAGAGTTGGTCACTTAACCAACTGTGTCATCCAGGTGTCCCTAAGCAGGCATGTTGGTCAGCCTAACCATTAGGCTTACACAAACTATTTTTTCTCAGTTTACAACATGCCTTCTAACTGAACAATTGTATATTTGTGCTTTTTGCTACATAAACTAAATAAACACTAGTTGCATGACTGTTGTTTTGCTTATTTTATGTAAGTTCCATGTTGTTTTATTACTTAAATTAAATCTGATTAACAAATCATCAGTTTACTCTCAGTCTAGTTCTTTCTACTCTATCACATAGCCTTCCTTATAAGTAAAAAGAAAAAAGTTCTACCATATTAGATGTTTTGCTATTTCACACAGAGTTCTACATCTTCAATAAGACAGACTTTGGAAACTAAAAAAAAATATTGTTATAAAAGTCAGCATATTACATCTCCATCATTTATAGGTGACCTTGAAAAAAAATTAAGAAACTTTGCCAGGCCTTAGTTTCTTTACTTTATAAAAAGAATTATAATACTAGATTTATCTACTTCTCATGGCTCTTATGAATAGCAAATCAGAAATTTGTTATTAAAGTACTTCGAAAAATTTCCATACATAAGTAGAATTGATCCCAATATTATAAGTAAATGCAATATTATACAAATTATATATCATAGCAAGTTAATCTCTCTAAAGTTGTACAGGTATGATAGAGTTCTCAAATGCAATACTGACAAGAAACAAAAATAGGAAATTAGAATGTATTACATTAACCAAAATGATTATTTTTATCTTTAATTAAAATTAAGAATACTAGAGGAGTGCCTGGGTGGCTCGGCCGGTTGGGCCTCTGCTTTGGGCTCAGGTCATGTCTTAAACTTATTTCATATAGCATGATACCCTCTAGGTCCATCCATGTTGTCGCAAATAGCATATGTATTTACCCCTTTTTGGATTGATCCCTTTAAAATTATGTAATGCCCTTCTTTGTCTTTTATTACAATCTTTGTTTTAAAGTTCATTTCTGATATAAGTATTGTGACACCAGCATTTTTTGTTTTGTTTTGTTTTACTTCAGTTTGTATCCTTCACCTTCAGCCTATGTGTGTTTTAGGTCTGAAGTGAGTCTCTTACAGGCAGCATATAGATGGGTTTTGTTTTTATATCCATAGGTCCAAGGTTTTCTAATCATTTCTAGTGTCTGATGATTCTCACCAACTCACATTCCCAAGTCCCTAAGGAAAGTATGTTCAGAGGCACAAAGCAAAGTTTTCTTTTTTTTAAACTTTATTTTTTAATTTTAAAAATTAAAGTATTTTTACTTAAACAATTTCAACAATAAATATAAGATGAAAGTCCCCTTAATTGGCCCACTGTATGCCAATCCCCCTTTCAAAAATGATTGTCATTAACAGTTATTATCCCCTCCTTGCCCTTTTCCCATGTTTTAACAAGCATATAATTATTCTATAACTTTCTTATTTTCACAAAAATACGTTGAAGACATATTTCCTTGTCTGTGTTCTTTAACTGTTGTATTCTAAGGAACAAAAGTAACATGTTTTTTAAAAGAGCATCTTCCTATTTATGGACATTTATATAGGTTCCAAATGTTTTGTTATTATATATAATAAAGAACATCCTTCTACAAACTGTGCATAAGTGAGTCTTCAGAAATTGTAAAAATTTCACTAAGATTAGAATTTTAGGGTCAAAAGATATAGTTTTATTTTAAAAGATAAAATATATAAAAAAGAATCCATTTCCTCATATTGTTAACGGAAAATATTAACAATCTTGGGGCTTCTGGGTGGCTCAGTCATTAAGCGTCTGCTTTCGGCTCAGGTCATGACACCAGGGTCCTGGGATCGAGCCCCGCATCGGGCTCTCTGCTCTGCGGGAAGCCTGCTTCTCCCTCTCCCACTCCCCCTGCTTGTGTTCCCTCTCTCGCTGTGTCTCTCTCTGTCAAAAAATAAATAAAATCTTAAAAGAAAAAAAATACTAACAATCTTTAAAAATTCATAGAACAGATAAAAATTGCTATTCTGTTGCCTCAATTTTTTTTACTTGTTACTAGTGAAGTTATAAATCCTTTCATGTTTATTGGCCATTTGTATTTCTTTTCTGAATTGCCTGTTTATATAGTTCGCTTATTTTGTAATTGGGTGATTTTTTTTCTTATCAATTTGTAGAAATTTAAAAAATGTACTCTGGATGTTTATAGCATATTACAGATAAACAATATCGCATAGTATAATATCCTGTACTTTGATTTTTTTTAACTTTATTAGATATTTTGGTAATTATTCTATGTAAATTCATAGGACGTGAATTTTTTAAAATAATTCCACAATGTTTATGTGTAATCTGATTTATTTACCTAGAATTTTGTTAATGGACAATAGGTCGCTTCTAGTCTTTTGCTATTAACAATACAACAATGAATATCTTTCATAAGTTACTTGCACTAAAATACGGAGTATAATTATTGGATAAATTTCTAGAAATAAAATTACTCAATTTGCAAAAATCTTATATTTTGCTTTTTTATTCAAGTGAAACATTCATAAATAAAAATGTACATAATTGTACACTTCAATGAATTATCACAAAGTGAACAATCCCACATAACCACAACTATGTCAAGAAATAGTATGTTACAAGCAGCTGCCTCACGCTTCTGCCAATTATTGCTACTCCTTCCTCTCCCCAAATCTGACTTTCTACCAGTTTTGCTTGTTTTTGATAGATGTTTGACTTTTTTCATATATATTGTATATGTAAATGTAGTTTTTCACTTTAATTGCTGTAGAATTCAAATGGATATGTTACAATTTATTTAGTCAATCTACTCTGATAGACATATTTTATTGTAATTTGGGGCTATTACAAATATAATATTGCCATCACAAATAATGCTACTGTCTTTTGAAACGTATGTGCTTGCCTTTCATTTGGTACATACCCAGAAATGAAACTTTTGGGTTGTAGGGTGTGCCAACCTATGTATGCTAAAATTATTTACTAATAATGCTACCAATTTTATAAAGTAGATTCAACAATTTACCCTCTTAACAACAATGTATGAGAATTCCTGCTACCCAGTATCTTTGCAAACCCTACCAACATTACTAATGGGGTTGTGTACCTTCTTATATATATATGAAAATATATGTGTCATTTATATATCTTTCTTTGCAACATACTCAAATTTCTTCTGCGTTTTTTGTTATTTGTGATTTCCTTATTGATGATACATGAGACTCTTTTTACACTCTGCATATTAATAAGTTCATTGTCAGATATAATTAATCCAAATATCTCTTCCTTGTCCTGCCCTTTCACTCTCTTAATGATGCCCTTTTTTCCAAGAAGTTCTTAATGTTTTTCTTTACGGTTAATACTTTTTGAGTATTGTTGAAAAAATATTTTCTTAACACAAGTGTAATGAAGATATTCTCCTATAATACCTTTTGAATCTCTGTGTGTAGTAGGAAAGAAGAGTCAAATTTCAGTTTTCTATATAATCTTTCAATTGACTTTGTAGTATTTATTGGGGGGAAAAACCTGTCATTTCCTCTATTGGTCTGCAGAGCCAATTTGGCTATAAATGCCTGGATCTCTTTCTGCACTCTTTCTTCTGTGCATTGGTCTTTTTGTCTATCTCTCCTGTGCCAATAGAAACACTGTCATAACCAATCTATCTTTATTTAATAAGTCTTGTTTTCCAATAGAGCAAGGCTTCTAATTCTGTTTTTCTTTAGTACTGTCATAGCTAACTGTGGTCCTTTGCATTTCTCTATAAATTTTGGAACCAGTTTTAAACTTCCAGGGGGAAAAAACCTGCTAAAATTTATATTGGCATTGTGGTAATTCTATAGATCATTTTGTGAAAACCTGACATCTTTGTACTATTATTGAATTTTACATTCCATGATTTAGGTTCTTTAATTTCTCTTAAGTTTTACATTTTTCTGTGTAGAGGTCTTGATTATCTTTTATTAGGTATAGTCCTAGATTTTTTATTATTTTTATTTTATTATAAATGGAATCTTTATACAATTTTAGTTTCTGTTTTTTCAGTATATGGAAATGTAATTTATTTTTACATTGACTTCATATTCAGCAATCTTGTTAAAATCTATTAGTGATTCTAATAATCTGTAAAGTATTTAAATGATGTACATACCTAATAATTTCTTTCCATTTCCTTTTTTCCTAATCTATATAACTGATTTATTTTCCTTTCTGTATTGTTCTGGCTAGGACTTACAGTACAATGTGAATAAAGGTGGTGACAGCAGTCATCCTAGTCCTGTTTTTATCTCAGAGGTCTGTAAACCTTTCAATATTTTACTGTAAAGTATGAATGATATTTCCTGCCATGTATCAGATTAATGAAATTTCCTTCTTGGTTTACCAAATGTTTTTGCTTTTTGCAACTCATGGCTTACTTACATGGTTTTCTATTTTATCCTTTAATGTGATGAATTACATGAATTCATTTCAAATGTTAAACAAGCCTTGCATTCCTGGCATAAACAAAACCTAGTTATAGTATGTAATTATTTTATTGCTAGATTTATTTATATTTTGGCTGGGATTTTTACACCTATATTCATGTTGCACTTTTAGTAATGGTATTTTCAAATTTTGGCATCAGATTATGCTGGCCCAAAAAGAGATGAATATGACTTTTTCTTTCTCAATTCTCAGAAAGTTTTGTGTAATATTGGTATTACTTATTTCTTAAAATTTTGCTGGGATTTATATAAGTAGCCACTTGAGCTGGAGTTTTTCGGCAGTTCAAACTGTCTATGAGAAAGGTGTCCAAGCTGTCTTTCTCATACAAGTGTAGGTTCTTCAGAGGTTCTATAGTGACTGTCACTGCCACAGTTACTTTACATGGAAAATATGCTCTCTGACTTATTCTAAACAACCTTCAGCTTCTGAACCTGGTGATATACTTTCCTAGCCTCTTAATTTTGTCATTCCTTGACTTTATAGGTCAATCTTTTGAGTACAGAACCCTGAAAATGGCTTGAAGTCAGTCATCGGCCATAACTACTTGGGCTATATTCTTGCAAACATATATTCTTGCCATATCAAATAATGGAATTATTGATTGTCCCACACTTCCATCCTCTCTCCTCCATTCATTAAAGGGCTATTTCTTCCAGTTTCCCTACACAACAAGTTTTCAGTCAAAAACAAGTTCCCCTTATGTATATTCACATAGAACCTCCACACTGTAAAAACTCCAGGAACACAAGATTTTTTTAGGTAGTCTGCCTTTCAAATGGCTTCAAAGAGCTCTTGGAGCTCATCAGACTTAGCTTAGGGGAAGACTGGAAAGTATAGAAGTAGATCCAAATATATTTTTAAAAATGTATTATTTGATAAAAGATGATTCTAAATTTTGAGGGACAAGATGAAGTATACAGGAGGTGGTGTTGGCTGCAACTCTTAATCATCTGGAAAAAAGTTTAATCCCTATTTCATACCTTATATGTAAATAAATGCTAGACAGAAGAAATACTTAAATATGTTAAAAATAAATATATTAAAAGAGAATATAGTAAGTGAGAAAAGCTTTTCTTAGTATGACACAAAATCCAGAGCCATAAAAAATAGAATTACTTTAAAAATTTTTTAAACTTATGCATGGAAGAAACCATCCTAAACAACCTCATAAACAAAAGCAGGGAAAATACTGGCAAGTTACGTCACATAGAAAACTAACTTTCCTACTTTGTAAATAGTTTTCACAAATCTGTAAGAGAAATACTAACAACTCTGCAGAAAAATGGACAAAGAATATAAACAGAAATGTCATAGTACAAGAAAATATGTTCGATTTCACTTAAGATACGAGAAAAGTCTACTTATATACTTAACAAAATGACAAGGATTAAAAGTTTGTTTATACACTGTTGTTAAAAAGGTAATGGAATGATACCAGGGTTCTGGGATTGAGCCCCACATAGGGCTCCTTGCTCAGCAGGGAGCCTGCTTTTCCCTTTCCCTCTCTCTCTGCCTGCAGTTCCCTCTGCTTGTGTTCTTTCTCCTGTCAAATAAATAAATAAAATCTTAAAAAAAAAGAAAAGCTGCCTTGCCTTTCTTTAAAAAAAAGGTAATGGAAGATCAGGCATTCTTAAAACGGTGGTGGGAGTATAATTTGGCACAACTTCTATGGAGGGCTACAATCTAGAAATAAGGATTAATTAGAATTAAATTAGCTTTTAAAAGGAATACTATCCAACTTTCAAAGAATGTCTGATTGGACTATGTTATTCTAAGCTATTTCCTCTTAGTTTAGCCTGTTAGAGGAAATGTGAATACTTTTTGGAAGATGATAACATCACTTAGAACCCAAAATTATCTTTATAATATTTATTTATTTATAGGTATATAAATAAATATATGATGTTATATAAATTCATATAATGTTCCATAGAACAATTAGAAACAAAACCAGAAAGCAAATCTGGGATACATGAAGATAATATGATCAAAATCCAAGACAAATAATAAATTAGATACCACATAGGGAGTTATCAAACACATATTTAAAGGAACTATATTCAACATGTTCAAGGAAATGAAGGACAAGAATGATAACTGAGGAAGATAACAAGAAGCTTTAAGAAGAACCAAATGAAAGGCTTAGAACTGAAAAATAAAATAACTAAAACTGAACTCCATGGGTAGATATACCAAAGATTAGAAACAGTTGAAGAGAGAATCAGTGAACTCTAAAAGACAAGTCAGAAGAAAGTATCCAAGTTGAAACATAAGGAGGAAAGGGATAGAGGAGAAACCAGAAAGTATGTGTAATAACATCCTAACAACCTCTTAACATTAAAAGTGGGAATATTATCACAAGTTTGACTTCAAGCAAGAATAAATAATCATAGGTTTTATTTACGTTATTATTTTTCTTATACCATTTTCAATCAAGTAAAAATCTAGGTAAGGGCTTCTTCCCACTTTTAGCACTTAGGTATTTTAAAAGAAACATCTAAGTATATAAAATATATTAAAACAAATTAGAGTGTTTAACTACTTACATTCCATATGCTGAGCTTACAGCAAGACTAGTAATCTGTTGGGGAGGCTCACCATCCACCCACACCAACTGAATAACAAGCTCTGCTTGATACCCTGGAGGCATCCGCACTGGTCGCGTCTTAACACTAAAAAAAGAGAAAAAGTAGTTCTACCACATATAGTTTAAATAAGTATGCTCATGCTTATCTTCAGAATTTACATAGAATCTTCCTACAGAAATATACAATACCAGGTACTGAGGGCAGTACATAGGTAGACAGCGTCTTCTAGTTTTCTTAAATACACCAAACCACTTAAGATTGCTTAGTTTTTTCTTTAAGTAGCTTTTCAGTCATTCAAGTCCACAACTTCAAATGTCCTTCATCACTTCCTTTTTTTTATTTTTGAGGATAGTATTTTAAATTATTTTTATTATTTATTTTCTTACATAATATTTGTTACATATATGTAAGTTATAATGCATGACAATAAAAAAAAAAGACTATTACTCTACCACCCAACTTTAAGAGCTCAACAATGTCCAAGCAGGGGCGCCTTGGTGGCTCAGTCGGTTAAGTGTCCAGTTCTTAATTTTGGCTCAGGTCATGATCTCAGGGTCATGGGATTGAGGCCCACATCAGAATCCATGCTCCGTAGGGAGTCTGCTTGAGATTCTCTCCCTCTGCCCCTCCCTCCTGCCCACTCTCTCTCTAAAATAAATAAATCAATAAATCTTTAAGAAAAGTTGTTCAACATGTCCAAAACCTGAATTCCTGCTCATCCCTCTAAATTTGACCTGTAGCCTTATATATTCCAGTTAGTAACAACTTGTATCTTTCCAGTTGTTCAATTAAAAAATGTTAAAGTCATACTACTGTCCTTCTCTTGTACCTTACATCCACTCAATCATCAAATGCTGTTTGTGCCTTCAAAATATACCCAGAATCTGAGCACCCTTTTAAAATGGATTTATTTAAATTCAATTAAATTAACATATATTGTATCATTAGTTTCAGAGGTAGAATTTGTGATTCATCTGTTGCATACAACACCCAGGGCTCATTACTTCAAGTCTACTCCTTAATGCCCATCATCCAGTTACCCCATCCCCCCACCCACCTCCTCTCCAGCAACCTTCAGTTTATTTCCTATAGTTAAGAGTCTTTTATGGTTTGCCTCCCTCTCTGTTTTTGTCTTATTCTCTTTTTCCTTCCCTTCCCCCATGTTAATCTGTTTTGTTTCTTAAATTCTACATATGAGTGAAATCATATGGTATTTGTCTTTCTCTGACTTATTTTGCTTAGCATAATACTCTCTAGTTCTATCCATGTTGTTGCAAATGGCAAGCTTTCATTGTTTTTGATGGCTGAATAATATTCCATTGTATATATATACCACATCCTTATCTAGCCATCAGTTGATAGATATATGGGTTCTTTCCATATTTAAATCTGAATTTCAAATAAACAATAAATAGGTTTTTGTTTTTGTTTTTTACTGTTAAGTGTGTCGCATGTAGTATCTAGGATATACTGATACTAAAAAATGTTTACTGTTTATCTGAAATTCAAATTTAAATGGGTATCCTGTATTTTTATTTGCTGAATCTGTCAGCCTTTAACATCATCTCTAGTTGGGTGCAATAGCCTCTTTACTGGTCTCCTGGCTTCTACCCTTCCATTGCATCTCAAAATCCATCTTCAATAAAGCCACAAAAGTGATCAATTTAAAATTTAAGTCTGATCATGTCTCCTTTCTATTCAAAATATTATAATGAGGCCCCATTTAATTAGGAATAAAAGCCAAGGCCCTTACAATGGCCTATATTGGCTATTACACATCTGACTTCATCTCCTAATATCCTCCCAACTATGCCCCACCTTGCTCCTGTTCTCCTAGTTACACTGACATCCTTATATGTGGGGCACTTAATTTTTTTAAATTTAATTTAGTTTAAATTAATTAACATATAGTATATTTAGTTTCAGAGGTAGAGGTCAGTGATTCATCATTCAGTGAATAACACCCAGTGCTCATTACATCATTTCCCCTCCTTAATGCCCATTACCCAATTACCCTCCCTCCACCCCCATCCCCTCCACCAACCCTCAGTTTGTTTCCTATGGTTAAGAGTCTCTTATGGTTTGTCTCCCTCTCTGATTTTGTCTTACTTTATTTTTCTTCCCTTCCTCTATGCTCTTCTGTTTTGTTTCTTAAATTCCACTTATGAATGAAATCATATAATTGTCTTTCTCTGATTGATTTATTTCACTTAGCATAACCCTCTAGGTCCATTCACATCATTGCAAATGGCAAGATTTCATTTTTTTGATGGCTGGGTAATATTCCACACACACACACCACGCCTTCTTTATCCATTATCTGTCAATGGATATCTGGGCTTTTTCCATAATTTGGCTATTGTGGACATTGCTGCTATAAACCCTGGGGTGCACCTGCCCCTTCAGATTGCTACATTTGTATCTTTGGGGTAAATACCCGGTAGTGCAATTGCTGGGTCATAGGGTAGCTCTATTTTCAACTTTTTGAGGAACCTCCACACTGTTTTCTACAGTGGCTGTACCAGCTTGCATTCCCACCAACAGTGTAGGAGGGTTCTCCTTTCTCTGAATTCTTGCCAACATTTGTTGTTTCCTGACTTGTTCATTTTAGCCATTGTGACTGGTGGTATCTCATTGTTGTTTTGATTTGTATTTCCTTGATGCTGAGTGATGTGGAGCATTTTTTTCATGTGTCTGTTGGCCTTTTAAATATCTTCTTTGGAGAAGCGTTTGTTCATATCTTCTGCCCATTTCTTGATTGGATTATTTGTTCTTTGGGTGTTGAGTTTGATACGTTCTTTATAGATTTTGGGTACTAACCCTTTATCTGATAAAACATTTGCAAATATCTTCTCCCATTCTGTTGGTTGTCTTTTGGTTTTGTTGAATGTTTCCTTTGCTGTGCAAAAGCTTTTTATCTTGATGAAGTCCCAATAGTTCATTTTTGCCTTTCTTTCCCTTGCCTTTGGAGAGGTGTCTAGCAAGAAGTTGCTGTGGCCGAGGTCGAAGAGGTTGTTGCCTGTGTTCTCCTCTAGGATTTTGATGGGTTCCTGTACATTTAGGTCTTTCACCCATTTTGAGTCTATTTTTATATATTGTGTAAGGGAATGGTCCAGTTTCATTCTTCTGCATGTGGCTGTCCAACTTTCCCAATACCATTTATTAAAGAGACTGTCTTTTTTCCATCAGATATTCTTTCCTGCTTTGTCAAAGATTAGTTGACCATTGAGTTGAGGGTCCATTTCTGGGTTCCCTATTCTGTTCCATTGATCAATGTGTCTGTTTTTGTGCCAGTACCATACTGTCTTGATGATTACAGCTTTGTAATAGAGCTTGAAGTCTGGAATTGTGATGCCACCAACTTTGGTTTTCCTTTTCAACAATCTTTTGGCTATTCGGGGTCTTTTCTGGTTCCATACAAATTTTAGGATTATTTGTTCCAGCTCTGTGAAAAATGTTGATGGTATTTTGATAGGGATTGAATTGAATATAGATTGCTCTGGGAAACATGACATTTTAACAATATTTGTTCTTCCAGTCTATCAGCATGGAACGTTATATGTGAGGCACTTTAAAGCATTTGCTCTAGCTGTTCCTTCTGCCTGGAATGCTCTTCTACCAGATACATTACAGCTAACTCCCTCATCACTTTTTGTTTAAATCTCACCTTCTTCATAGCATTAGTTAAAAAGAAGAAAGAAATATTATTTTTGCAATATCCTAGCAATCATGAGAGAAATCCTTTTTTTTCCTAACCAGATATTCTTGTAGTAGATAGTAAATGTGGTTTCCTTTTTGATTCCAAGAAAACTGAAGAAATTCCCTAAACATACTTTTTCAATTGGGAGATACCAAGCAAGTGGCCAAGTTTCTGCTCTGCCATACATGTTCTCATTCTATTAAAGCCATGTTTTTAGGATCCTTCTGGAAAGAAAATCTATGAATTTGTAATGAAGGATGAAAATATTGTGCCATCTTCATGGATATTCAAAGAAAGACCACAGTACCCCTTGGTAGAGTGTAGGTCAATTGACAGCAACTTAATAAAAGAGAAGAACAATTTTATTTGGCACAGTTTCAAAGTATTATATGACTAATATGTAAAATTGTTTCAAAATTTGGTAGCAACTCTTACGTGAGGCATGGGATACTGTCCTTTGTTCCTCCTTCACTAGCCACAGTGTTAGTGCTTCCAGAAAGACTCCTTGAAGAAGGAAGCTGGGATGAGAGATCTGGAAATGGAGGACTTGTTTCTGGTTCTGGGGTAATAATATCTTCAATATCATACTGAAGTCGTGCCTCTAATGACTTAAAAAAAATCAAGTTTTAATTTAATCTAAGTCATAATAATAAGTAATCACATTAAAATTTCTGATAACTTTTTTTAATTATTACTTTTTCATATTAATAAGTTCAGTTTTAATTTATAGTAAAGTTGAAATATCCCAAATTGATTTAAATAGTGAAATACATGGAACATTCATTGGCCTTCACAAAAAATGTAAAATATTTCTTAATTCTTCAGATTTATAAGAAAAATACCTACTAGTTGAGATAAAGTTTTTATATACTAAATACTCCTTTAAAGGTATAAATTACAACTCCATATATAATGAAATGAGAAATTGGTCATGGTTATTCCAGTGAAAGAAAATATATTGGATGTGTTTACATACACATACATAACAAATTATTATTTGTACAAATTTTTAGTTTAAAAAAACATTCTATTTTGAATTTGAATTTAGTAAAGGTTTTCCAAAATAAATTCTAATTTTTGTTTCATTAGCTTAGCTCAATTTCATTAGCTTGGTTAGAATTGCTTAATTGAAAAACATATGATAAACTGTACTGTAATAAAAAGATGACCCAAAACCTTTTTTTAATCTAAAAATGTTTACAAATTAAGTACTTGATGACTGTATTCAATGCTTTAATTAAAATCGATTTTATAACAAACATTTGCTTTACAATGTAAAAATCAGCATTTTTAGAAATTCAATTAATTAACATATAGTATGTTATTAGTTTCAGAGGCAGAGTTCAGTGATTCATCAGTCTTATATAACACCCAGAGTTCATTATATCACGTGCCCTCCTTAATGTCCATCATCTACTTTCCCCATCCCCCCAGCCCCTCCCCTCCTTAAGCAAACCTGTTTGTTTCCTATGGTTAAGAGTCTCTTATGGTTTGTCTCTGATTTCATCTTGCTTTATTTTTCCCTCCCTTCCCCTATGCTCCTCTGTTTGTTTCTTAAATTCCACATATGAGTGAAATCATATGATTAAAAAAATCAGCATTTTTGAAGCTGAAAACAAATGTCATTATGGGGTAGTAATATAGCAATATTACCAGCAAAATTACTGTCATAATTGTCTTAAAAACTAAAAAAATCTACAGTGACTGTAACAATTACCAGTTATTGAGTGCTAACTATAAATTATCATTTGTAATTTATTATTACTTTCCATTTTTCCATTTTATTTACACAGAAAATTATATGAGTGTATGAAACTTGGTCTTACCCAGACTCTACTACTGACTACTGGAGCCTTGTGACTTGCTCAGAGTCATGTAGCTATTTACTGGTAAAGCCAGAATTAAAATATAGGCTTATCCGACTCCAAACTCATATATTTTAACAAGGCAGTACTTAAATTTGCTGTTGAGGTAAAAACAGTGTTAGACAGGCCTTTAGTAGATAATCTTTATTTTCTGATAAAATGGTAAAATGGACTCAGTAGGGCAGGCCAATTATCTATAGATGCTTTAATTTTTATTTAATTTATCCTATGAGAGCATAATTGAAAAATTACTTGATTAGTTTAAAGTTTAGATAAGGTACCCCATAATTATTTCTATCCTATAAAAATGTTGCTATCTAGAAAATTATTAAAAATAATCTTATTGTAGTTGAGAAATGATCACTTGTGGCAATTGACAAGAAAAAAACTTAATAAAGATATACAACAAAGCCTTCATTAATTTGACATTTATACATAAAGCAATGACTGTATAAATTCTATATACACATAATCCATTCTATTTAATAATACAAAGTTTTAGTAGAGAAATGTTTTTTTCATTTTAAGCCAAACTGTTTTTCAATATGTTATACTAGGTAACAAGAATAATTCAAAATCCTATGAATTGGATTACTGGCCAAATACAGTAGTCTTGAAGGCTTAAAACCATACCAAACCCTAGCCAAAATCTATGATAATTGCTTTCTTTTAATAGCTTTAGCTGTAAACATTAAATTTAAAAAAAACTTACCACTATTTCTGTTGTTATTTCATGTCTGCTGAATTTATAAATTATGACATATGCAGAGACTCCTGATACACAGAATATTCTGCTCTCTGGACACCAGTAAATCATCTGAATGGCATATGGATCTTCCTCTATAATTTCACATGTTGGTTTTCCTTCTCCTACCTTCTGTTTTTCAAACACTTTTGAAGTTTTTAGCTTGTACAGCATCTGCAGAGTTACTATAAGATATTGAAACATAGTTATCTTCTAATTTGAACTTAATTCTTAGATATCGTTGAAGCTTTTCCAATATATTTGTTAAAGCACTAAAATAAAACCCAAGTAGACAAAATAAATTACATTTTAACTAGGAAGCATTCAGTGTCATACACTCTTATCATTACAGTTTAGCTGGATGGAGATTCCAGAGAAAAATAAACATTTATTGCACATATATTATATACCAAAGAATTTATAGGTCCTTTGTATGTATTGTCTCATGTAATCCTCAGAAAAGTTCCATGAAGTGAGTATTTTTATCCTCATTTATTGATGAAAACACTGTGGCTCAGAAAGGTTACAATGGAAATATTGAACCTAATTCTCTCTACAGTTTTCCCCTTTGATTGCTACATGAGAGATTGGAGCTATTCTTAGAGAGTTTACTCTTCTCAACAAATTTCTAGACAATCCTTAAGATGAGAAACATTTGTAATTTACTAGCTAGTAATATTGAGAGTCCAATAATCTGTAGTTATTTTAGAAAGAATCTTTTCCAAGTGGCTCTGTATTAGAAAAGGATCAGTTATAATTTTTAAAAACTCTGGGGTGGTGAATTGTTTTCAGGAATATTTATTTGGGGGAATATTTTTTCCATTATAGACCCCGATGATAACTCTCCTATAAAAAAGATCTGATTCTATAAAAGATCCTTAAGAGAATTTCTAAAACTCTGGGAATTGCTGTCAAAAATGCATAATCTGAAGCTAATCATGAGAAACATCAGTCAAACCCAAATTGAAGATTCTACAAAAATAATTGGCCCAAGTCCTCAAAAATATCAATTTCATGAAATAAAGACTCATAAACAATTCCAAATTGAGGACAACTCAAAAGATGATAAATGCAATAAATAATCCTCAAATTTCTTTTATTATAAAAGATTTTTGGGACAATTGGTGAAAACTAAGTAAGACGTGGAGGTTAGATAATAGTATTGCATCAGTATTAATCTGATTTTGAAAACTATAATTTGACTATGTAAAAGAATGTCTTGTTTGTAGGAAATATACAATGAAGTATTTTTAGGGCCATGTAATGTAAGAAGAGCGTCAATGCAACTCAGAAATGGTTACAAAAGCTATACATATATGTGAACATATGGAGAAGAGGGAGAGGGAGGAAGGTGGAAGAACAAATGTAGTATACACTGACATTTGGGGAACCTGGCTAAAAGCTATAGAACACTTCATGGTATTTTTTTGCAATTATTCTCTAAGTCTAAAATTATGTCAAACTGAAACATTTCAAAAATGGGTAAGGCATTAATTATACTAGGTGCTATAGCCTGCCTTCTAGGTCAGATGGGGTATCACTCCCATGATTATTTTATGTGACAATAACAATGGTAAACGGATATTGCAGACATAATTAAGGCCCCTAATTAGTTGACTTGGAGTTAGTCAACAGAGGTTATCCTTAATTGGGCTGACATAATCATAATTAAAAGAGGGACAGGTGCCCTCCCTGAGGTTAGAATGACACTCCCTTGCCAGGCTTGAAGAAACAAGTTTCCATGAGTTATAAAGCTACAAGAAAATGAATTCTGCCAGCTACCTGAGATTGAATGAGGACACTAAATCTCAAATGAAACTGCAGCTTAGCCAAAACCTTGACTGCAGTCTCAGGCAACCCTAAGCAAAGAACCCAGCTAAACTGTATTCAAATTACTGACACACAGAAACTGTGAGATAATATATAAGTACTGTTTGAAGCTGCTCAATTGTGGTAATTTATTACTCAGCAAAGAAAACAAATACACATAAATAACAAACTCAGTTATTCAAATTCAGTATAACCTTACTTCTGTACTGGACAGTATTCCTCAAAATTGGCAGACTAAGTGATATTTCTTCAATGACATCCACTAAATTGGAAATGCATCCTTATAATTGGTTACAGTAAAAATATTAAACATGCTGCAAACCTTAATCATTAGAATGTTAAAGTGTCTTCTCACATTTTAGAAGCTAAGAAGTGACTTTAAGGTGGTGTGAAAGGAACAATAATGTCACTATAAAATTGTGTTCTTGGAACAAAGTCATATTTACAAGAGAAAGTTCATCCAAAGAAAATCTTTTGTCCTTTGGAATTTCTCCCTGAGCCATTGTTCTCTATTGTGTGAGTTCAAAAAGTTGCCTCAAAATTCATGGTTTTACATATTTTAATCATTTTCTCTTGCTGATGGTTCGCTCCACTGCTGAAAGAGTCTAGCTTACAGGCTAAGAATATCACCAATATTCAACCTTCTTCCTTTTGCTTTTGTGTTTATCATGGTCTTCCTCAGAAGCTATTTACCTCTACAACTTCAACTATTACTTTTATGCTGCTTCTATATGACTGTCCATTTTTGACTGTTTTTCCTACCTGCTAGACACTTGGATTTCGTGGTGTGATTACAAAATTCAAACCTCCAGCACTCTCTTGTATTCCTCATTTCCAAAAGAGTTACCCATATCTTGCTGGTTACCCATCCTCAGAAACTGAGTCATTGCTCACTTATTATTGTCCTCCTATTCCTGACTACTAAAATCTTAACTATCTTCTAAAACTCACATTAAATATTAACCCATCAAAATACCCTTTCTGGATCTACCTGGTTCAAACAAATCTCAAATTTCTGGTAACAAACAGAATTTGAGTTATATTACAGTTAGATTTCTTATCATACTGTTTGCCTTCTATTCATATATGTGCATTTCTTTATCTGATTTAGTAAATATAAGTTTTATGAAGGGTATATATGGATATAATCAAGTCTGAAATATCTTTGCATGCCCTTAAACCCTGAGAAGACTACCTTATTCCTTAAATTATATAATTCAAACATCTTAAAAGAATTTTACATTTATCAAATCATTTCTTTTCATTCATACAAGGCTTGGTAGACAAGTAGAAAAGTGGACTAGTGAGATTAAAAAAAACTTCTCCAGGACAAGAGCTAGAGGTAAAGGAAATTCCTTCAACTGAGTTAATCTGACAAAGTTTGGTACGTTTTTCAACATACCTTACCTTTTGTAAATATAATGGGTTATGGATAGTGAATTCAGTCCAGTTTATGTTATAAAGGCAAAGTATAGTAGAGATAGTACTTTAAACTTATTTAACACAGGAAATGGATTTTTATAACATAGCCATATATGCATGCTAAAAATGTATCTGGAATATTAATTGTCCAAACTAAAAAGTGGTGAATGGCTCTGAGTAAATATTAACCAAGTATTTTCTGTTACAGAACAAGAGACTTAAAACTTACTTGCAGAATATATGTTAAGAAAAAAAAAGAAGAAGAAGAAGATAGCAGGAGGGGAAGAAGGAAGGGGGGGAAATTGGAGGGGGAGACGAACCATGAGAGACGATGGACTCTGAAAAACAAACTGAGGGTTCTAGAGGGGAGGGGGATGGGGGATGGGTTAGCCTGGTGATGGGTATATAAGAGGGCACGTTCTGCGTGGAGCACTGGGTGTTATGCACAAACAATGAATCATGGACCACTACATCCAAAACTAATGATGTAATGTATGGTGATTAACATAACAATAAAAAAATTAAAAAAAACTTACTTGCAGAAGCATCCCAAAATTTTATTGATCCATCTGCATGACTAGATAAAAAATACATTAGCATTAATTACAGTAAATTTAAAAAATCATAATAATTCTAAATGTATAAAAACTTGAGTTACTGCTAAAATTTGATTCAAAACCCCATTCTAATGAGAACTCATATATGCTAAACCATTTCCAAGCTCATGGTAGTGGTTTATTTTTTAAACAATGCACTAAAATCTAAATTTAAAAAAGAATAATAGATTTTACTGTAAAAAGATTTCATGTTGAATAGAGAACAATGAAAACTGGCTTGAATGAGCAATATATTTTTATATAAAATTGTTTACTCTCAATAAAAAATACTTGACTTAATTTTGATTATATTAAAATAATTTTGAAGTCAATATCATAGTGAAGTTAAAGTTAAGCTTCAAAATATGAAAAGCAAATCCTTAAAGCTATCTAGAGTTGTATCATTATTTGGCAATAACATAATTGTAATTCTATAATAACTAATCTAGAAATAAAAAGGATAGAATAATTCCAACATTTTATTAGTTCAGCTTTAACCTGACACCAAAACCAAAAAAGAAAATTACAAAACTTTATTCCTCAAGCACAGGTATAAAAAATTGTCAATAAAATATTAGCAAATCAAATAAAAAACATAGAAAGGATAATAAATCATGACTAAGTTGCAGTTCATCCTAGGAATGCAAGAGTAGTTAAACATTAAAAAAATCAATCACCATATAGTTATTCATCATACTGACAGATTAAAGAAGAAAAACCATATGATCATCTCAATAAAAACAAAAAAAGCCTTTGTTTCTACCTTTTGGCTATTGTGAATAATGCTTCTGTGAGCATTCATGTACAAGTTTTGTATATACCTAAAAGTAGAAGTGCTTGGTTATATAATAATTGTTTAGCTTTTTGAGAAATTGCCAAACCATTTTCCTTATCAGCCTCACCATTTTACATTCCCACTAGCAATGTATGTAGTTCTAATTAATCTATATCCTTGTCAACACTTGTTATTTTCCTCTTTAAAAAAATTTTAGCCATCCTAGTGGGTATGAAGTGGTACACATAATTGTGGCTTTAATTTTCACTTCCTCAATGACTAATGATGTTAAGCATATTTTCATGTGCTTGTTACCCATTTTGTAGACTTTTTTGAAAAAGTCTACACAAGTTCTTTGCTCACTTAAAAAAGTGTTTGTCTTTCCATTGTTGAGCTCTAAGAATTATTTATATATTATGAATACTAAACCCTCTCAGATATGATTTGAAAATTTTCTCCAACTCAGTGTTGTCTTTTCACCTGATGATGAAGACCATTTTATCTATTTTTTCTTTTGTTATTTATGCTTTTGGTATAATATCTAAGAAACTTTTGCCATAATCAAGGTCATGAGAGATTACCCCCTTTGTTTTCTCTTTGAACTTTATAGCTTTAGCCATTAATTCAAATCTTTCATCATATTTCAGTTAATTTTTGTATATGGCATGATGTAGGAGTCTAACTTTATTTTCTTCTTTCAAGTTTTTACTTAAATTCTAGTTAGTTAACACAGAGTGTAATATTAGTTTCAGAAGATTTTAGTGATCGCTTACATATAAAACCCAGTGCCCGCCTTAATACTTATCACCCATCAAGCCCATTCCCCCCTGCAACCTTCCCTCCAGCAACTCTCAGTTTGTTCTCTATATTAAGAGTCTCTCTTATGGTTTGCCTCCCTCTCATTTTTCCCCTCCCCCTATGTTCATCTGTTTTGTTTCTTAAATTCCACATATGAGTGAAATCATATGGTATTTGTCTTTTTCTGACTTATTTCACTTAGCATAATACACTCTTGCTCCATTGACATTGATGCAAATGGCAAGATTTCATTCTTTTTTATAGCCGAGTAATATTCCATGATATATATATATATATATATATACACCACATCTTCTTTATCCATTCATCAGTCAATGGACATTTGGGCTCTTTTCATAATTTGGCTATTGTTGATAATGCTGGTATAAACTTCAGGGTGCATGTATCCCTATGAATCAGTATTTTGGTATCTTTTGGGTAAATATTGCAATTGCTGAGTCTTAGGGTAGTTTTATTTTTAACTTTTTGAGGAACCTCCATACTGTTTTCCACAGTGGCTGCACCAGTTTTCATTCCCCCCAACAGTGTAAGAGCAATTCCCTATTGTTGCATCCTCACCAACATCTGATGTTTCCTGTGTTAATTTTAGCCATCTGAAAGGTGTGAGGTGGTACCTCACTGTGGTTTTGATTTGTATTTTCCTAATGAGGAGTGAAGTTGAGCATCTTTTCATGTGTCTGTTAGCCATCTGGATGTCTTCTTTGGAAAAATGTCTATTCATGTCTTCTATTTCTTAACTGGATCATTTGTTTTTTTGTTCTTTTTTTTAATAATTTTTTTATTGTTATGTTAACCACCATACATTACATCATTAGTTTTTGATGCACTGTTCCATGATTCATTGTTTGTGCATAACACCCAGTGCTCCACGCAGAATGTGCCCTCTTTAATACCCATC